CTGGGGGTGCTGAGGGGAAGGTGTTGAGGGGGAGACAGGGATTGTTGAGGGCAAGGGCAGGGGGTGCTGAGGGGAAGATGCTGAGGGGAAGGGTACGGGGTGCTGAGGAAGGTGCTGAGTGGGAGATAGGAGACGCTGAGGGGGAAGACAGGGCTGCTGGAGGGGAAGACAGAGGTGCTGAGGGGGAATATGGGGTGCTGAGGAGACGGTGCTGAGAGGGACGATAGGGGTGGTGAGGGGAAGGTGCTGAGGGAGAAAGGCTGAGGGTGCTGAGGGCAAGGGCAGGGAGTGCTGAGGGGGCGGCGGGTTCTGCCCCGCGCCGCCTTTTTCCACTTCCCCCTCGCCCTGAGGGAGGAGAAGCGGCGGCAGCGCCTCTCCCACGGCCCCGCTGAGGGTCACACCGAGGGGTCCGGGCTCGGCGGGGCCATCCCGGCTGCTGTCGGGTTTGGGGAGGGGGGTCACACGGGGGCTGTGCGGCCCGAGGGTCCCGCTGTGCCCTTGGGGACCCTCGGAGACCCGCCGAGCACGGGAACGCGTTTGAGTAGCGGAGAGACCCGATTTTAATCTGCTTAGAGCAGAGACCCTTGTGCAACCAGCTCTGCTTTGATGCTTGAAGGATGAGAGAGAAACCCTAAGAAAGCCCTTAACGATTGGCCATTTACTTAAAAGAGTTGGACTCGACGATCCTCGTGGGTCCTTTCCAACTCGGAATATTCTGCGACTTGGAAAGAGCGTGACAAGGGCGCAGTCGGGCTCCTCGGGCTTAAAAAAAGCCCCGAGTTTGTCCCTGACAGGGGTTGTCGCAATCAGATTTAATCGGCTGTTAATGAGGAAGCTTTTCTGTCCGTCTCTGGCTCTTGTTTTTCGCCGTCCCCGTAAGAAAAACGGCGCTTGGCAGGAGCCCGTGGAGAGATGCTTTTACCAAACACCTTCGAGCTGGCTCGGGGGAGGGGCTGGGCACGAATTTGTTAAATTTGTTAGAGGCTATGTGGCAGCTGATTTATCGCGATGTAAAAGCTGAGGTCAAGTAGTTCGGCTTGTTCATTCTGTTGAAGTATCTGAGGAGGGGGGGAAGGGTTGGGAAGGTAAATAGGTCTATATTGCACAATTCTGTTGGAGTGGAGCAGTTCGGGAAAAAAAAATAATAAATAAATGTGGTGCTTTGAGAGGCTGTAATTGTCTGAGACAGCCATTGCGGAACACTTCTGAACGGGGGCATAGACTCAAATTGCCCGAAAATGAGTTGTGTCTCTCATTTCCCCCCCTCCCCCATTGTCCCAAATGAAGGACTCTCATGAGAGTGTGGGTTGGGGGTAGGTCTGCAAACGTCAAATGATTGGCACCAATTGTAAGATGACTTTCTAACCACGTCAGTTTTTTATCTTGTGAGAAGTAAACTTTCTCATGTCTGTTTTTCTGCGAACTCACTTCGCCACTTGCTGCGATTTCAGCTCTTTGGGGAGAGTTTCGCTCCTGCCCTCGTCTTTTCTTCTCCTCGGGTGCTTTCTATTTCTCCGTTTTGGGAGCTGTGCTGAAGTGCCAGCTGATGGCTTTTGTAATGCTCGTTCTTGCTCAGTTGACTTTATTATCACAAAGAGATGAAGGTATTTCGTTTTGCTTTCTCTGGGAAACGTTGAGTGCTGGCAGGAGTGGTTGTGTCGTGTTTTGTGAGATGAGTGTGTCGATTGAAATGGTTTAAGAGTCAAGCCTTTGCTATAATTGCGCAGGTCTTTTGTTTATCTGTGTATCTATGTATGAATATTTTGCACGGATTATTGAAAGTAAAACGAGTGTCGGGTCTGAAATGTAAAGAGTTCTTCTAGGAGAGCACAAACGTGTGGCTACTTAGTAGACACATTCGAATGTGTCTTTAACTCTTTTGCCCCCAGCATCACGGTGACTTTCTCTGAGCAAAGTCACAGCACAGGACATGTCCCTGCGAGTTTTCAGCAGGTAGATTCTGGCTGTTTTTACAGATTAGGCTTATCCCATTGATTTTGGGGGGTAATGTATCTGAAAGTATATCCTTACAAAGCTAATCTTGATAACTTGTTTCAAATGTGGATTTTTTTGTCTTTTAAGTACCTCTAGTCCTTAGTTTCTAAGTGAGTCAAACGGCTGGGCAGACATGTAGGTAAATTCCTTAGGGGGTTGCAGTTCAGTGCTTAGATCACGGGGTTTTCTTGTTTGTGTCAGCAAAGGAGATAGATCCCTTCAGTAGTTTGAGTGCTCGGAAGGGGAACGGCCAAGAGGGATCATGGCAAGCAAGAGCACCAAACCCTCCACAGCAGCCCGTCGGAAGGGCAGGGAGCCCTTGGAGGAGTCCTCCAGCGACATGGAAGTGGAAAACGAAGGCAACAAGCAGCTTGACAAAGGTCCTCCTCAAGGTAGGTCTGGCTGTCGGTGCTGATGTGAGGAGATGGCAGAGCCTTTTAGCAGCAATCGACTTTACCGACTGTTCCCTTTCACAAAGGAATGCTGAAAGCCTTGTTTAAACTGCTTTTAAAATTGTAAAAAGGGCTTGCAAAGAGTTAAAGGGTTTGGCCCAGTGCAAGTGCAAAAGCAATTTGTAGACTTTCTCCTAATAAAGCCTATTTCATATCCCTGATCTGGAACATTGTGCTTAAGATTGTGGTACAACAGCAGGATTTTTCAAATTTATAGGCAGCCA